TTTCAGAGATATTTTTTTGCAGTTAAGCCCGGTAGAAATACTTCGAAAAAGCGGATGTCAAGATATAAAAGCCCGCACAAATATCGCCCTGATATGACTTATGTCATTGTGACAGCTGAAAACCAATAGATTTTATCCTGTGAGGAAGCAAAGCTGTTGAAGGGCGGCTTACCAACCGGTTCGGCTCAGTGTAACTGGGACATGGTAACCCCGGACCACCTCGAACATTATTTTTTGACATTCCTCCTTGCACTGCGGCAAATTCCAGTTGGAAGAGTAACGGAACTAGTCCAACAGACGCAGTGCCCGTTATTCTTCCAAATGGGATATATCCGCAGTGCAGGGGTATAAAAAGCTGGCAACACTCCCCATCGGCCATTTCAAAGAAGTTCTGAATCGACAACCACCAGTTGCGCGTAAACCGAAAAGCCCAAAATACAATAACGCAGTGGCAGTGGCAGCGGCAGTTTTTCGAAATCAGCTGTTTTTTAGAAAGTGTGGTGTCCAATGAAACGACTCACAATACAGCAGTGGCAGCTAGCAGTACTGCTCAGTTTAGCCCAAATTCTAAATTCACTGCCACTGCCTTCATCGCAGCAAACTTCGCATGCTGAATTTGACATAAATGAAACGCAGCCAACATCTGTTGATGTCACTGAAGCCTAAAAGGCAACAACAAAAATGTAAACAAACAAAAGGGAATGTCAAAAAAAGCAGTCACTGACAACGCCGTATTGTGTTTGCTGCGGCATTGACTGCCAATATTAGCAGTAACAGCTGATTTTAAAAACTGTCACTGCCACTGCCACTGCGCTATTGTGTTTTGGCCTAAAGTCAGGGAAAATAAAATTTTGTATTTAGTGCGTTGGTATATTCATAAAACATTTATATATAGTGCAAGAAATATCGGCGACGAATTGGTTGCATAAGGCAATAAGTGTGAAAATAAAAGTGCAGTGAGAAGTTTATAGAAGTGCAGAAAACAAATTCCCAGTGGGCGGAAAAAAAATCGTGTGCGCGAAACTAAAAAACATTTTTATACACTTAAGGACAAAATTGTGCAAATCCACTGGGGGCGAGACACCTAGTTTCGAGACGCACAACTCCGTGCAATATACACCTGCACAAACACATGTGTGAAACAAAGTATGGAAGACTAAGTGAATGAACTACACCAAAAGACATTGGCAATTGCTGCAAAGTGCGGCCAAATGCGGAGCAACCGTACCGAGATCGGCGTCTAGCAACCACCAGCCACTGGCTTATGGAGCCGTACGACAACTACACAACCATCATCATCAGCACGAGCCAGGTAAGTCTTCCTCATGTGTAATAAGTGTAAGTGGTGGCTAAGGAGCTGCTGTTGGTTATGCCAGGGTAGTACAGTTGACAAAGTAAGTTGTCAAACAGCAACGGTTAATTGTACGGTGCTTTTGTCTATGGAGGCTTTTATTCCATGCATAATTACCTCACACCAGTCACAAGGAGATGTTCCACCAGTACTAATTTTAAATATATTAATATTTCTATGAGTATTATATAAACGCGATTTTTATTGAAAATGAAAGCGTATAATTCATACTTTACAACACAAAACCATCGTTCGTAAAGATTAAGTGTTTTGGCTGAATTCATCCTTGAGTGCACGGGGTTAAGGCGGAGTTCTTTTCACTGTCCCACCAGTCACCATGGAATGGAGGGTACAAGTTTTCTGAACGAGGCCCAATGCTGTCCATGGGGTAGATGTGCTTCGCAAAAATACTGTGGATGGCCTAACCCGCGCGTACATTTTCTATGTCACAATACAAATTTCACTCTAGTTTCAAATCTCCCATCTGAGTCGCTCTAACTAGTAATCTTTTTCTCCAGCAGATCCATTCTACTTCAACATGCGCAGATCAACAACATCAAACGCCACAACAGCGAGCCAACAACGCGCACAGTAACACCAACCGCCACAGCAGCAGGGCACTAACGCGCAAAGCCAACAACACCGCCACAATCGCGGTCACAGCACGCTACAGCAACAACAATGCGCTCAGTAACAACAACCGCCACAGCAGCGGTTGCAACAACAAGGGTGCAACAGCGCTCACAGTGACAACAACCGCCACAGTAGCGGGACAAAAAAAAGGCGCACGACAGTAACAATAACGCGCGGTTACAGTAACAACAACCGCCACAGCAGCGGGTACAACAAGGCACATAGCAGCGGCCATAACGCGCGACGGCATCAACAGCGCGCTACAGTAAAAACAACGCGCTCAGTAACA